TCTGCATATATGTGTAGTTTATCCATGCTGCATGTATTATTAAACAAAAGGACGGTGGCCGCATTATTATATGGAGTACTTGTTTAGAATTTTTATTACTTAATTAATTACTTCTATTTATAGGAGTTTAAGTTTGAGCTCCTATTTTGAGGATATGACATATGTTTTACTCCTATTTAGGGGGTTTTCTTATACCGAAGTATATCATCTCTCTCCGTATGGTAATACCGGTGACCTCCTCCAGGAGGGTTTTCAGTGGCCCTCCAACCGCACCCTCCTCCAAGCCGTCTACCACCACCAGACCCGGGAAGCATGTTGGTGAACCTGCTAGCTGCTGCCAATTTGAGGCTTAATTGCTAGTTCAAAACCCAATATTCAGTGCAGCACTTCAGCACCTTAGCTAGCCACCAATCCCCGTTGCCAAACATTCCCTGACCTTCCATTCAAAATTCAAACAACCAGGTAAGAGCTTTAGCTACAACTGTTATTTCATCAAGCAAGGTAAGTCCCTTTTTGTCTTCCTCCTAGACAAGTCGATAATAAGTTTAAAGGACTACCATGTGTTTTCTTCACCAAGGATGAAGTGCCATGTGAATTCCATATCCATTCACTTTCTATGCTTCTTCAAAACCAGGTTCTCCCTTCTTCCTGTTGGGACCATATATTTAGCTAATCACATGCAGCAGCCAGGAGCTTCACCAATGTCGGCAAGAACTCCAATAGTGGCAATGATGGCATATGGATTTGTCGGAAGCAATGGGAATAGTTCCCGACGTGAGTTCTTAGCGTCAGTGACGGCAAATAATCCATTTGTGGTGTGTTTTTGTAGTGGAAGATTTGTAAAGGTGTAACATCCTATCCCCCACACTAGCCCTAAGTGTGCGCTCATAGAATTGTAGACTTTCCCCACAAACTAACACAAATATTTCACTCGTGCATTCTGAGACAACTTCCTAGGGGGCCACACAGACTAAAATTGCTTCAAGTCAAATACGCTTAACTTTGAAGTTTCTAATTGATGAGCTCTCGAAAAGAAAATGCACCTTGCTGGTATGAGTAGTATTATCAATCCTTTTGAGCTCTTTCCATTTCCATCTTAACACAGGGTATTGCATTCACCCTACTTAGGAATGCAACGTTCTCGTTGCATCCTTTTTTCAAACCCCATGGTCTTCCCCACTAGGTGAACTAAGCTCTCTTGGACCGTCTGAGTTGTAGGGTTGCTCTGATACCATTTGTAACACCTCCCCGGCCCCCTACCCTAGCCGTAAGTCTCCACTCATAGGATTGTAGACTGACCCCACAAACCAACACAAGTCTTTTCCGCATACTTTTTCCTCACTTGTGTGCGCCCATAGGACTTCCTAAGGGTCGCCCATCCTAAAATTGCTCCAAGTTAAGCACGTTTAACTTTGGAGTTTCTAAGTTATGAGCCCTCTAAAAGTAGATGCATCTTATTGGTATGAGTAGTACTATCAATCCTTTTGTGCTCTTTCTGTTTCTATCTTAACACGTGGTATAACAAAAGGGTCGAGTCAAGAGAAACCAATAGGAAGGATGATGGTGATACACCTCTAATTGCAAATGGTTTTGGCAGTGGTGTGGTGATAGTGATTCCAGTAATGGCCAATGGTGGATTATTCAACTTGCCGCAAAAACATCCAGAACTAGTATGTAAGAAATGGTAGAAGCCAGGTACGATGAGACCTCAAAGGGGGCGAGGACAGACCCCCAAAACTGTAGCAGTCTCCAGCGCTTTCTACCTATCTGATTTCTCTCTATTTTTCATTAGCTCAACATTAGTCGCCAAGAGAGTTCATGGTCCTATTTGTTAAATGTTTCTCTATTTTGTAGAGCAAGATGAATGAACTCAGGAACCAGGCTACTTGCTTGCGGTCCCATGGTCGGCGCTAAAGTGACGGTGTAAATTATCCTGACGGTCTATCGATCTTAGCCGGGTAAGAAAGATAAACTAGTCAAACAATTTACACCAAAATATAAACAAGTAGATTTTTTCATGAAAATCCAATTAGGAGAAAATTATGGGCCTTTTTTGGCGGTACCTTGCCAACAGGGAGATCTTATTAATATCGGGAGGCATACACAACATATAACTTGGGCTCAAAAGCCATTAATGGAGAGCTACTAAGCTCTTGAAGAAGAAGAAGAGGCGACCAGGGGATCGTGTAGAGAGAGGCCTCCCCTTCTTGTTGGTGTAGCTTCCTCTTTCATAGGAAGAGTTAGAGAATCATTGGGGAATATATTTTTATTCCCCTTTTATTTAACAGGCCTAATATGATCGATATTCATAAAAAATGGAGAATCTAGACCGAGTCAAGTATTATTTCTCATCGTGGTATATGGTCGAGATTACGGGTGTACAAAATCCAGGTCGAACTGGAAAACCAGAATGGAAAAACACGTTTCAGGCTAGATCGGTAAAATTTAGGACCAGTCACTGGTCTAAAGATTAAGGACCGGTAAAATTCTTGTCCAAGACTAGATAGTTTCTAGGTGAGACTGATAAAACCGTAATATAATTATTATATTTTTTTTATTTTTGATACTTATAATACAAAGTATGTGATTATAAATACAACTTTGTGTTTTCGTTTTTGTTCTTACTTTAATATGAAGTATAATCTTTTAAATGTAATATATATTTTATTAATTCATTTTCATTACTTTTTATAATGACAATCATTGACCTTTACTCAAGATTCTCTATAGTTATAAAAATCTATACCTTTTGAAAAACAATTGAAGTATAATGTATAAATATTAGATTTAGAATATTAGCTACTTTTAAATGTAACTTATTTGATGGATACCCTAGAATGGGGGTATCCAGCCCAACCGAATAAGTGGCCCAACAAGACCCACCTAATCGAATGATCTAGACGCGCTTGACAAAGGGACCACGCTCGGCTAAAAAGGACTTAAGAAGAAACCAAGGCCTCAAGGTGACAACCGCACTCGGATGCGTATCACTGCTCAGCTTGGATATATCCACTCGGACCTGGGACGGACCCGGATGGACTCTCCATGGCTGGGCTCCAACAACTAAGCATGCGTACTCGGCCTCTGCCGCTAGCTAAGCAACATAGGCCCACTGCGACGTGGGAGCCTGTATGCATTGTCCAATCAGCGGGCCTGCGATTGGACATCCTGATACACTAATCTATACGATTGGTTGTAGCCACCCTATTGTCTACCCATTACTTGTAGCCATCCTAGCTTGTAATCATATTGCTGGCGCTGTCAATCAGACGGCTTGGCCTCAGTGGGCCGGACTGCTAGGCGGTAGACGAACGGTTGGAAAAGTCCAAATATGTATTGTATAAATACCCCTCCCTGGTAGGGGAAGAAGGACATTGATTTTTACTACTAAGCTAATATCCTTTTCTATACTCCTGCAACCTAAGACACTCAGTACTCGTATGATACTCTACCTAGGTCCCGGGTTCTAAAACCCATCATTATTCTTGCTAAAACTAAATACTTTCAAGTGCAACTTTATAATATATTTGAAATTCCACAAACTAACGGAAGTATAAAACTCATTTTAAACTTATTGTACTTTTTTGAAAGAAATCTTATTACTGATTAAATTATTTTGCATTAATATAATTTTTGAAACACGCCCAATGAATATAAAAATTAATGGTAGTGTTAAAATCAATTCAAATCAAGCCACGTTTTGTTAAAAAACAAGTTTAAAAAAATTAACAAAAGTTTAAAAAATGGATTCAAGATTTTCTAGTTTTTACCCGGTCGGAATTGTCATATTCCAGCGGTTCAGTGATGAGTTGGAATCCAATGTGACCTTTTTCTCTCTTACATGTTAATTGTGCCTTTTCTTTATAGTAATTTTTTCATAATCTTTTTATGTTCAATAAATAACAAAAAAAGTATTAACGTCAAATGATAATATAATATTAATTTAAATTAAATTAAACATGCATTAAAATTTTTAAAATTAACAATTAATTCGTTGAAAACAAGTTTTTCTATTATATTTAGAAAATATAGTTTTATTTAAAAATTAAAATATTGCACTTACCACTTGTACTTGTGTATTTTCTTTCGTTTTTTTCTTAAATAAAACTATATTTGTGTGAATATAAAAAAACTTGTTTGCAATGATTTAATTGTTATTTTTAAAATTTTAATGCATGTTTAATTTAATTTAATCTTATATTATCATTTGACATTAATAACAAAAGTATGTCAACTTAAAAGGAAAATCACTATGAATAGAAGGTATAATTAACATATAGGAGAGAGAAAAGCCACGTCGGGTACCAACTCATCACTGGATCGCCGAAATATGACACTTCTAACAAGAGGATATCGGGTTGTTATAATTTTTAAAGTTGGGGTATGATTTTGTTACAAAGGGTACCTTACGTGAAAAAAGACAAAAATTTACTATCGAGTGATGCAGGTTTTGTTGGAATAACTCGTAGGACATTGTATTTTCCAAATGGCATTATGGGACCTTACAATTTGTTTTAAAGATTGGGAGGGGACATTCTGTCTACTATATAGCTAATGAATGTATTTTTCTTATTTTTCCCTTAATGGTTTATGTTAATAAAGCTTAGGGTCTTCACTTTTTAATTTCCTTTTTCTTTATTTTTCTTTTTCATAAAGCTTTTTCAATTCCTTAGAAAAAAAATTTCAAAAATTTAGAATTGTTTGTCTGATATAAAAAATAAATGTAAATAAAATGACTATAGTAAAACATAATAAGAAAAATACATTTTTAATGGTCATTAATAAAACATATTTTTAAATGGTCATTAATGGAATAGTAGACAAAATGTCCTCACCCAACCTTTACAAAAAATGCAAGGGTCATTGATATCTTTTTGGAAATGCAAGGACATATGAGTTATTTTAACAAAACTTGTCCAAATAATTTTTTTATAAAAAAAGGCCTTCAAAATTAGTAATATCCGTATTACCGTATATATATACACACACAGCATCAGTTCTTCGAGTCATGGACTAATTACTAATGGCTTCAAGATTCGCCAAGAGATTCACCTCTACAATTTTCAGACCTCATCTTTCTCTTCCTTCGTCTGTGTCTCATATCTCTACCGGGAGCAATGTTTCGGGGAAGACGAGATTTTCTCCTTTCCTCCCTCGATTCATCGATTCCACTAAATCATATAACACCCAAATAAGCCATCATCCTCTACCTCGAAACCCTAGCTGCAAATTCCCATTTCACCTGAGTCCCGTGTACTCTGATCGGTTTCTGCTTACGATTCATCAACAGGTCAGATCCGTAACTTCTTTTGACCAGCCAAGTGGCAGGAGAGAATCTCAAGGATCTAACGAGCACCCTGGCCAAAACCCTGAGTTGAAGCACCAGGAGATCACTGGCCCCACTGTTGAGCGAGACGTCTCCGCGCTGGCCAACGAGACCAGAGAGGTTCTGGAGAAGATGATGAAGAATGTGTACGGTTTGAGTAAGGCGTTGGCTTGTCTCGCCCTTGTTCAGATGGGTTTGGGTGCCTGGTTTGTCTATGCTACCAGGGGCTCTCCTATGCCTGAGATATCATTGCAGAGCTTCTTGGCCATTGGGCTTCCGGTTTCGTTGGCTTTCATGCTGAGAAGGTCACTCAAACCAATGCGCTTCTTTAGGAAAATGGAGGAACAAGGCAGGCTGCAGATTCTAACTCTCACTCTTCAGGTAGCCAAAGAATTGAACTTGCTCTTTTGTCGTGTTCAAGGCGTTTCTTATTCTTGCATTGCTGTTGCGGCCGTTGGATTGGTTTATGTTGCTTTGTCTAGATGAGTTTTGGCTGATCTTTGTGAATTAAATATTTGCTCTCTGCCATCAATTTTAGTGTTCTGCTAATAATGGCTGAGTATGGTTCACCAAAAGTGATGACTTTCAATGAGCTTATATATGAAGGAAACAAAATGACATTTGAATTTTTTTTATGTTGGAGATACACACACATATACACATTCTATGTATATAATATATTTTTTTCAATTCATAAATAAGGAGAAGGTACACGATTGCATCAGTAGCCAATGGTGTGACTCCATTTGCTGCATATTTAGTATTCCATTCGTCCCCCAAAAAAGGTTCTTGGTTTAACTTGACACAAAGTTTAAGGAAAGTGAAAATGTGTGGTTGAAAAGGATGCATCAGAGTGAGAAAGAAAAGGATTTTTTTAGACGTCCCAAAAAAGAAATAAGAAGCCTTTTTTGGGACAAAGGGAGTATAAGTCAAGGATTGGCTCCATGTGTATATCTCTCTTGTGATTGCCTGAATCACCTCTTATGAGCTATGGTTGCTGTCTCCATAGATGATAGAATTGTAGGCTTTCCAGGTTATGATGCCAGGGATAATGCCAATAAGAATGCCCTAGAAATGACATTTACATACATGCAAGATGCTATCTGAACCCCAAAATTTAACCCCACTTTTAACCCCATCCTCTTACAAACATTTACAGACTTCCGACATTGTTTCGTGTCTGTGAATATCTATAAGAGAGGTGTTAAAATTGGAGTCAAACATGGTGTCCTTGTAGCATGGTTCTACATATCTTAACCCCAAAATTTTATCCCCACTTTTAACCCCACCCTCTTACAAACATTACATACATTTACAGACATCCGACACTTTTTTTTGCATATGTGAATATTTGTGAAAGAGTGGGGTTAAAAGTGGGGTCAAATGTGGTGTCCTTGTAGCATGGTTCTACATATCTTAACCCCAAATTTTTAACCCCATCCTCTTACAAACATTACAGACATCCAACATTGTTTCGTGTTTGTGAATATCTGTGAGAAAGTGGGGTTAAAATTGGGGTCAAACGTGGTGTCCTTGTAGCATGGTTCTACATGCAAAATGGCACCAATGCATTAGATAAGACCTTGGGGAAGATCCCCTGTTAGGAGGTTAGTAATCCAGGATAGGTTCAAAATATTTCCAGACCAGGTGGCTGAAGGGGCTACGGAATAAGGTGTGAAAAACTGAATCCTCAACTGATTTTCATAATGGCCACCTTGTAAGGTGCAATCTTCTCAGGTTTTATGGGGATGGAAGGCAGTTGCCAACAAGTTTCCAAAGGAAAAAAACTAACTTTTGGAATCTGTTTGGGGAACTAGATGAATTTGCTGCAAAGAGAGGAGAATGTTACCACTATGTTTGGTTCAAGGAATTTGGAAGGAAAAGAAAAGAAAATGATTTTCTCTCGTTTTCCTCACTGAAATGGGAGGAATTTGGTTTTCCCTCCTCTTTACGTTTTGCCTTTTCATTTTCTTTTCCTCTCTAACCATAAAAAAAAAACTGTTTTTCACTTCATTTTCTGTTTGATTTCCCTCTCAAATTCCTTGAATCAAACAGTGTACCTGATTGGATTTGGTAGGTTTTTCAAGGCTAAAAGCTCCATTATTGCACCTAAAGTCACCATCCTGATCATCCTCATAATCCCTACGCTAAGATTATAATTTTAAAGTATAAAAGTCACCATCTTGCACCTAAAATCACCATCTTCAAGCCTTACCAAAATTAAAAAAGAAGTACGGAGTATAAAATGGCCACAAAATACGAAGTAATAATTTTGGTAATAAACACCGTGGACTTCTTCGACACTACTCCCTCCGTCTCAAAAAAATGAAAAAATTTGACTCTGTATGGTTAACATGCAACTTAAAATTTGACTCTGTATGGTTAACATGCAACTTAATAAAATAATACTCTGTATAAAATGTCATTGGGTCAAAAACAATTGAGGGCTTTTAACTCTACTCCCTTACGCCTCTTTTTTTCTCTTCTTGCGCCTAGGGGTGGGCAAAGATATCGACCTCACATGGCACTGAAATGGTTCTAGTAAAAAATATTCCTAACCGAACTGTCTCGTTTTCAAAATGGTATGATACTGGTCCTCACAAAATGAGAACAAAAAATATTGAATCGGATTGTTACAACAAAAATGGTAGATTAATTAATTACTAAAATATCTTGCCTTTATTATATTTTAACTTTGTATCTACATGTTTTAAACTTTTGTTTCTTTTTTGCGATTCTAACTCCATCTTAGTCTTCTACTCCGGTATATTACTTTAGATTCATAATTTGTGCTGATGAGCGTTGTGCAGTTGGCAAAGATAAGGAGTGTCAAGGGGGTAACACTCGAGTTCGATTCCTGGCAACTACGCTAGGAGGCAACTATGCTAAACATAGGACTTTTGTTGTACCAGGTGTAGGATCCACTCTTTGTCACCAATATGTGCTAATAATCTAATTTATCTCTTCTAAGTGACCATCAAGTCGAGTCTAAGGGGTCCTCGTGGATGGGGCTCATTCTTTTAGAATCATAATTTGTAAAACAATATTACGGAGTACTAAAGAATACATTTGTTGTGTAAGGACGAAAAAATATATTGATACACCAAATATTTTGAAATAAAAGTATTTTGAACTCTTAAAAAATCACACTATGATTTGACATTGTAACATGCCATTACGATGTGATATGATACCGAATGAATTTGATTGTAAAATCAAACCGCATCGAGCCGTTTAAATAACCAATGTGGTTCTGTAGCCACTAAATAACCATTTAATTTGATTGTGAGTAAACTGAAATGACTAAATAGCCATCTTGCTTCTATGGAAGTCGCACACAAACAACCAATTTGATTTTTTTGTAACAACCAAGCAATGTTACAAATTGCCCACAATCCAACATTTCATAAACACACCAAACATCTTGAAGTAGATTATCATTTCGTTCGGGACGAAATTCCCAAGTATTATAGAGTATTATATATCTCATATTTAAATAGTTGATCAACAAAGACTTTAAGGATTAGACTAAGTTTTCAGGGGACAAACTAGATACTCATAATCCTCAAGCTTCAGTTTGAGACGGGAGTCCGATAAAACACATCTATTAACGAAATAAATTTTTTAATTATTACAGTAATATTTGTATTTATTATTAGAAGTAATTATTGAGTTGGGAAAAATTTATGATAACATTTGATGTCTATCATATTTAAAAAATATTATTCTTCTCAATACTTCTAAAAAATTATCAAAATAAGAGTAGATATGACAGAATATATCCTGTGTACAATGAAAGCAGTTTAAAGGTACTAAGGTAGACACTTCCTCAATTCCAAAATAAAGCTCTCATTTGCGATTTCACAGAAATTAAGAAAATATGAAATTCTATAGTTGGATTTATTGAGAAAAAAGAAATAATATATACCATCCATTCCGAGAACTTCATAAGGGGAAATATATCCCAACATCTGTTCACTTGATAATGTGTAAACTTACACTTCAATACTCCCTCGGCCTCGTAATCAACTATACACATTCCATTTTCGCAACCAAAAATGCTAAAAACGACACAAAAATATGCGCAGAACCAAACACGGCATAAAGCTACACATACCAATGATACCGCTTTAATAGAATTATTATGAAGAACAACCATAGATGTTTAGTGCCCGTTTGGGAACAAATTTAACTATTAGCTTTAACGTTTTGCCAGCGTTTTGGTTTCGCGTTTTTAAAGCTAATCAACACCATTAAAAAACAATCCAAAATGCTAACAGGGGTTCAGTTCCTCATCACTTCTAACATGCAAAGTGCTCAGCTGGTTTCTTACCTTCAAGGAAAACACGGTAGAATTAGATCTCCGTCTTCGTCACAACCAATCTCCCAAGAGTAAGATACTGTGCTTCCCAAGCATAGTTTGCAAGCAGCAGCTCAATCAGTTTTGGCCTAGACCATACTAGCATATCCAAAGATAATAAGGTGGTGTTTGGGAACTAACATTTCATTTCAATTCTTTCATTTAAATTCAGAAATTTGAAATCTTGAATTTCAAATGACAAAGGGAGACATATGGATTTGCAATTGAGCTTTGTAATGAGATAGAGAAAGTTACCTCAAATCCAAATCCAAACTTTTAAGATTTCCCAAACATGGAAGAGTCAAATCCGAATTTGAAATCCAAATTCCGATTCCCAAACATGCTGTAACAGAATTGCATGCCGTCGGTCATATCCCCCAAAGTCAGTTAGACAGTGAACACAGTGACAAAAAGATCCCGTGGTTGAAATCCCACAAGGGACTGCCTATTGGCTTTCTGGGTTAAACCCGCCAGCTAAAATTCATCCCAACCTGGTTTCCTCCTCATTTTCCTCTGCTGGCTAGCTCAAGCAGGGGTTTGCCAGATGGCATACTCCGTGCACAACAAGATAGAGCAGCAGCTCTATATGTTAAACAAATTGTCATGCTATACAGTGCATTGTTATATAATCATCACAATTCTGAACACACTATCATATTCAGAGTATCATACGATTTTGAATCTATACTTCCAATAATATGATTCATATGCATATATTATCTTCATGTACAAACAGTACAATAAAGATGGGATAAGGAGAAGACGAATGACAACTCTATTTATTTGGTAGATTTTATAAAGAAAACCAAAATATGTATCAGCAACCCCATTTATCAGCTTAATATATACTCCCTCAGTCACAAAAGCATCTTCCCACTTGCCACCTCAGGATGTCCCAAAACCATCTATTCATTTCCTTTTTTCGGCACACACTTTTTACTTCTTTTTAATAAAAATACACTCTTACCGTCAACAAGTCTGCATGTTTACTCCACTTTTAATAAACCCAAAAAGTTGGTAGAGGCATTTAAATAATTTTCATTTCACTCTTAATGTCCATGTCTGGGAAAATGATTTTGGGACAGAGGGAGTAACAAAAGAAAGGAATAACAATTTGTCAGAAAGTGTATCATACACGTATAAGGATCCCTTCAAGAAATTAAGTATGCATTGTATCTACTGCATCACCTGCAAGGAAAGGTAGAATGTGGGAACACAAAAAGCATGCGACTTTGCTTCAATTACACTCCCTCTGTAAAACATTACCTGCTCTCCCGTTTTGGACTTTATAGTACTCTCCCCATCCCAAAAAGACCTTTTGTTTACTGTTCATACGGTCAAACTTTGAACACTTCATTTTTCTATTTTCACTGCTCATTTGATAAAATAATAGTCTTGTCAAGTTTTGTTTTGTAGAATTTTTGATGTAGTAGGTCTTAAATATATAAATCTAATTTTTCAATTTTATGCCAATTTCATATAAGTTGAATTGAAAAAAACTTCACCACTGTAACTCACAACAGAAAAGTCTTCCTAGGACGGAGTAATAAACATGTGATTCACACGATTTCTTCTTCCTCTAAACAAATTCTAACCATACTTTTTTTCATTTTTTAACACTTTTCTTAAACTCCGTGAAAGTCAAACGAGTGAAGTTTTTTGGGATAGAGGGAGTAGTTGTTTGTCTTTTAAACTAAATTTGGCATCTTCATTCCATAAAAAAACATTAGATATAATGAGATTGGCTTGTTTAGTTCATATATGCCTCTTTTATATAGGAGGGAACATAATTTATAAAGACCAAGTACAAAACTTACATAAAAAAGTGAGTTCAGCAGCCTGACCATCATTGTGGCTAACCATTAGGTAGACCTCAACATATTTATCCTTTTGGTCACCTTACATCATCAGAAGAAACACCATTCACGTTCATGGCATTAACTAGCTTTTCAGACAAATCACTGTCAAGAGTAAATCCCTTCTCCATCATCTGATCCCATATAGCACAAGCCCATGGAAGTTTCTTTTCCTGAATTAGTCCTTGAATAATTACCTTGAATGTCACTCCATCCGGGCATAAACCTCTCTTTTGCATGTCTTCATAAAGGTTCATAGCTTCACTGACTCTTGAAGCTTTGCAAAGCCCGTTAACCAGTGCATTGTAGGAAGCAACATCGGGGCCCACACCCTGCTCCAACATGTCATTGAAAGTGCTATGTGCTCTCCCTATTCTTCCAGTCTTGCAAAGATGGTGAATAATAGTGGTATATAACACACGATCTGGAAAGAGATTCATTTGTGTCATCTGGTCAAGAAGCATCTCGGCTACATCAGAATTTCCTTCTTCTAAGAAGCATTTTATTAAAATTGTAAAAGTTACAACATCGGGACTTATTCCCCTTTGAACCATCTCCTCTAATAGCTTGTACGCCCTCTTGGAGTGGCCCATTTGGCAGAGAGCTCTAATTATGGTGTTATAAGAAACAACGTCAACCAATCCTTTCGGATCCATCTTAGTGATCATCAATGTGCATGCCTTGTCCATTTTCCTGGCCCTACATAGACCTTTAAGAAGCTGGTTATAGCTGTAGTTATCAGGTACCATACCACCACTCTCCATCTTCTCTATCAATCTCTCTGCTTCCCCCAACATAAGCTCGTTACAACTATAATTCAAGAAAATGTTGTAAGTAGCCAAATCCGGATCACATCCATTCTTTCTCATAAACGACTTAATTGCTTGGGCTTTATCGATCCTTCCTATTCGGCAGAACCCATCAATGAGTTTATTGTATAACTTTATGTCAAACTTAACCTGACTTCTCATAACGCCTAATGTGAGTTCATAAGCCATATCAACCTTCCCACACTCACACAGACCCCATACAACAGCTCTACAAGCCTTGTAGTCAGGTATATGACCATTCCTGATCATCATATTCCATATTTCAACTGCACTATCAAACCTTCTAACCCTGCACAACCCATTAATAACAACAGTATAGCTGACCACATTGGGACATCTCCCTTTCTCCCCCATGACTCTCAACATCTCCAATGCTAGATCCACAAAGTTTTCACTACACAAAAGATTTAGATACATATTACAAGCCCAAATATCAGGGACTACTTCAAGCCTATCCATATCATCTAAAAGTCGATGAATAAGCTCAAAATTCTTAACTTTACACAACCCGACAACAAATCTTGAATACGTAAGGGGATTCAAAGAGAACCCGTTGGTCTTCATCTCGTTGTAATACTGTTCGGCCAAGTCAAACCACAAATTCTTAATCAAGACACCAATGAACCTGTTGTAATCAATGCTAAAAACCCTGCAGTCTGATTCAGTCATTTCATTGAACATCTGGATTGCTTCGTCTACAAGCCCAGTTTTCACATAATTAGAAATGCGGGCACGGTAGGTAAGACGAAGCTTGCCCAGACTTCTAAGCATATCTGGGAAGTGAATGCATAGTGCGAACAAATTTCTCTACCTTAAGTTTCCCATTACTAATAACTAAGACTCCATTCTTGGATCGTACGAGTCAATTAACCCTAACATCAAGGGCCAAGCGCCGAGCTAAAGAGAGATTCATAGTAACCTGTTGAAGGGCGAGGAAAGACTCCAACTTCAACTTGGGTTTAGGGTTTAGGGAGAGATTGAGAATTCCGCTTCTGAAGTCTGAACTCAAATAGTCATCAAATCTACGGATTTGACAAACGATGAAAAACATAGAAGTATTTATTTGATGAATTCTCACTTAGGTCATGTTCCCTATATTGGCTTTATTGATGTGATATTTGGGTGGAATAAGTTCTATTTGATCTAAATGTAATTATATTTAAATCTATTTCTAATTTAGCTTGATCTGTTTTCAATAAGAATAAGTAATAAGTAAAAAAATAGAACATGACTTTAGGATACTTTGTTGGGAAAAAAGATAAAAGTAGGAGTAAAACATTGAAAATATACCAAAATAGGAGTTTCATGTTTTTATTCACGAAATAAGAGTTTGCACTGTGGTAATGTGGTGGTAATGTGGCACTGTACATGTGCACATTACTATACTTTTTGGTAATTTACATGACTATGTTTGGCAATGTAAATGCGTTTTAACTTCTATTTTCGAGAATAAAAACATAGAATTTGATTTCTCTACTTTGTAAAAATAGTACGGAGTAATTTTTACCCTTTCTAACTTTTGATAAATCTTTCATCCAGTCTCGACCTTTCATTCAGTGTTTTTGTACTTTGGATTTAGTGACAGTTCATTGGGTCAAACCCGGACCGGATCGGACCAGGACCGGACCGGTAAAACCCGGACCTGACCGGGACCGAACCGAATAAATGTTATTTTTATTTTTTAAAAAAAATTTGATTTTATTTATTTAATTTAGAGTATTCAATTGAATAAAAATATTACTACAACTAATTTTTAATTGTAACATACACTAAACATTGTCAAACATAGTTGTTTTGAATTTTTTAAAAAACTTTAAATAAAGTATATATCTTCCATCCGTATTACATAATATTTGTTCATAATTTTTATTTTACATAGGAAAAAATATTCTGCTTAGTGCATTTTTGCTTTTTTGTAATGCTTTTTTGAGTTTTTGATTTATTTCGACAAACGGATACATTTTTTACTATTTTTGTTTATGAGATTGTTTACAATGTTTGTTTTTGCGGATTAGAGTTTCATTATTGATAAAGTACAAATTAAGTTATAGTATTGGTACATAAATTTGAAATGCATTAGATCGCTAGTACAAAAGTAATGTTTACTTTTTCACACTTATTATATTAAAAATATTTAAAAATCATTAGAATTGGTATCTTATTTTGAATTGAAGTGTATTTAAAAAATTATATTAAGTAATAAAATCAAAACATTTAAAAAACTTTTAGTATTAAAGTTAAATTAATTTTAAGTATAAGAAAAAACTTTAAAAAATACATTATTATTAAACTATATAGAAAAAAAATATTTTAAAAAAATAAAATGTAACCGATCCACCGGTCGGACCGAAACCCGGTGGATCGGACCGGACCGGACCGAAACCCGGTGGATCGGACCGGACCGGACCGGACCGAAACCCGAATAAAGAAAAAATGAGGACCGAGGACCGGACCGAATAAGGACCGGTCCGGACCGGTTTTGGCTGGGTTTCGGGTCGGTCCGGGTCCGGACCGAATAATGCACCCCCCTAAGTGACACCGAGTATAAGACTAGGATCTCTTTGACAATGATATTAAAGTATAGAATTAGTGTTTCAAAAAATTTATTTAACAATAACATTTATCTTTAATCTTTTCATAGTTAATCTACACATTAAAATTTTGTTTAAAATATTGGTGCTATTGAAAAATGTTATTCTCAAACAAGGCCTAGATTTACAGCTGCATGTTTCGCATGTCCTTGTATATACTCGTATAATATAAATTTTTAATTTTTGGATAAAAATACCCAAAACTAAAATATGTTTTTTACTTTAATGTTTAAATAGAAGTTTCAAAATTTGTATACCATAATATTATTTAGGACTTATAATATCAAAGAGCCTCATTATATATACCAAAGCGACTTTGAAATCCCCTATACAATGCCAACTTGTAGCATTCTACACTCTTATTTAAGAAAACAAAAATATAGAATTTTTTAATTAAGTATAGATTTAATGTTTTAATTCTATTTAGATACTCCTTCCGTCCGATAAAGTTTTTCCCAAGTTGACTTTTCATAGTTATTTAGATCTCTTTGACTTGAAAAAGTGTAAAAGTTTACCAAAGCGATTTTAATAAAAATGAGTAAAATATATTAAATGAAGTGAATGAGGTGTACGAAGTCATAAATAAATTGATACTAGTAGTGATATTCCAAATGTTTGAAAAAATAATAGGAAGATCTTTTCAAACTAAAAATAGATTTTGGGAAGATTTTTTTGGGATAGAGACAATAATTTTTTAAAGAAATTTGTATACAATACTGTTAAAGAGCATCCCACACCGGAAAAGTATGAGAAAATTAATCGGTATATAAACTCTTGAGTTGAACTATCTACCTGATTAGATTCAATCTTTTAATGTGGTTCAGCTCAAGTGTCTTATTACCCAATCCAGTTGTCCATATCCCATCCCAAATTCTATCATGGTATCGGAGCAGGTTTTGGCCCACCTCATTTGTCAAGGTGTCCGTCTAGATATTCATTCCTAGCGGCCCATTTGTCTTTAGCCCAGTGTTCCGTATGGAGTATGTACTCAACAGCTTGTGGCCCGTTTAACACGATTGCTCGTCTGGAAGTCCAAACCCAGTGGCTCGTGGTCCTTTAGGTGTTGGCGCTCAAAAGAAATAAAGGGAATGAGAGTTCATTTGCAAGTGGTCAACCAGTTAGATTCAAAATGGTCCGGTTGTCCACTTGAGGGGGAGAGTTAAAGAGCATCCCACACCGGAAAAGTGTGAAGAAATTAATCGGTATATAAACTCTTGAGTTGAACTACCTAATCAATTGGATTCAATCTTTTAATGTGGTTCAGCTCAAGTGTCTTATTATTCAATCCAGTTGTCCATATCACATCCCAAATTCTATCAAATACAATATTGTTTGTGTATCCATGCAGCCATACAAAATTTTTATAATAAAATAAAGGGAAATGATATTTACACTCCATTTTCTATCATTGCTATTCCAAAATATACTATTCACCTCTCATGTAAATTCAAAATAGTGTACATTGAAATGTCAATAACAAAAAATGGGGTGTAAATATCATTACTGTAATACTCTCAATATCTCAAAATTTTATTTGAACAATTACTCCGTATTTTATTTCCATTCTTAACTTATGAGACAAAGTTTTTCAAGCGAATCTAAATAAATGAAAGTTGTCACAATATTACTCTCTTTATTCCATCGACTCGATTCTGGGGCCACTAGCTTCAAGGGCCGGCCACTGCCTTTCCGAAGCACCTACGGTATTCCATAACTTTCTTTCTTGGTTATAAGCAATATTTTTTTAATGCAAATTATTATTCATTTTGTCTCAAAATAAGTTTTACACTTTTCTTTTTTACACGTCATATGGAAAACATGTTGGCATAATAAAAGCTTAGGTGCTCTTGGGGTTTTTCTCCTTTGTGTACCTTAAAATCTCAGGCACCTTAAAACTTTGGACCCTCGTGTTCTTCCCGTTGGGAGCCTTGATGTGTTGGTTGCCATTCATGTCAAGCTTTATATGCATGGGGCTCTCCCAATAAACAATCTTTATAAAAAAAACTCTTCCGGTGAAATGGTGCCTACAATCGATGGAATTTTGATAGAACCTATTCAGGCAGCGTTTCGTTTCATTCTGTTCAATGCTTGCAAGGATTCGTTGAAGCCTAATTGGCCATGGTCCCATCATTTTGGACAAGTCCAGTCGCTTCATTCCAACCCGTGTCCGAACCTACAATTCCCTCGTTAGCAAGTAAAACTAATTCAAAAAATGTAAGACTAATTTAAAAATTTAGAACTGTCCGGGATCGAAGCCAAAACTAGGAACTGTCAGCACGCAACAACCAAACGAAAAATCAAATTGGCCCAAACAGATCCAGTTAAGGTTCTGCGGCTCGTGGAACCGGGAACTAGAACCAGACTTGATTTAGACCCGCATCCATGTTTGCTCCCAAACCTCTAATGTTTGGCTTGTCACTCCTAAGTCCTAACAATCTAACTTCATTTAGAACCAAAAACAATACTTATATGGAGTACTATCTTTGTTTCCTTTTTTTCCCTCTTGGGGGTTACATTGAGGGCCAAAAACTAAAAACACAAAATTACACAGCTAAACTCCACCCTTAAGGTGTTTTCTTCTTTCCAGACTTCTTGATTCGGCTACCTATTGATCGGCTCTTAAACACAGCTAAAATCTCAACACTGCAACAAGCAAAATCAACTTTCACATATCATGTAAAAAATAAAACTGTGTTGAAAGAGAGAGAATTGAAGATCATGGGATTTTTCTGTGGTTTTGCTGGTTCAGTTCCAAAGTTTTTCCTAACCCCATTTTAAAAGAATTGACTGCAAGACCAAAACGGCATTGGTTTTAAAAACTATGGGACTCAAATGGAGGCGAAAAAAGACTTGGGGACTGAACCTACAGAGTGGAAAAAACAAAAGGAATATATCAAAATTTTAGCGTCTCACATAAGTGACAACTACTAGGTAGTCCCATGTGTTCAACGTATTAATGACAACCCGCAACCATCAATGTGAGCAAATGCAAAGCCATTCCACTAAACTATTACACTATGTTTGGTTCGTAGAATTTGAAAGGAACAGAAAAGAAAGAGTTTTACACTTTTCCATTCTTTATATTCACCAAAACGAAAGAAAAATCATTCTCCTTCTTAGTGTGTTTTCTTCTCTTGTTTTCTTTTCCTTCCACTTTTTTTTTCTTTTCCTCTCTAACCAAACAAAAAAAAGTCGCTCTCTCTTTTTTTTTCTTTTCCCTTTCAGATTCCATAAACCAAACATTGTGTAAATGTACTTGGGTAAATAGGGAGGGGGAGGAGAAGGGATGGAGAGCACAACCTTTGCGTCCCTGGGAAGAAATTAAAGCCATGTGCCTTGTGTAAATGCCATGCCTTGGAAGATACAAGTGATTTGCAATCCTGTTTGAAAATTGGATTACGAAAATAAAACTTTGTGACAAAAAAATGGTAATTGGAATAGCACAACTTCCCCATCAAACTAGATAGGTGCACTCTTAGCTCTTAGGGTCAATTTGTAGGGAATGGCTTTGAAAAACTTAGTATGTTTGAGCTTTTATAAAAATTCAAGCAACAACCAAATTTAGTCCCACAAGTGGGGTTTACATTGGGATGGAATAACAAGACTAACATAATATGCATCGTATAACATTTCAAACACTTCTTTTTCATTATTAGGAACAGTCAATTTATCAAGATACACAGACTAAGCCCCCTAAAGCCTTCCTCTCCAAACTCCTCGATCCAAACAAATTCTTAGGTGTATAATGTACCTCTTTAAAACTTTCCCATCCACAGCTTATATATATAAGAGTTTCAGGAGAAGATTGGTTTTCCTCTGACTGAGTTTTCCCTCCTATACAAACTGAAGTGTCTCTTGCACGCAGAACCCAGGGTCTTTTTTCATCTTTTTCCTTCTCCTTTCTGGCATATAAAAACAGTTCAGCGGTAAATTTAGAAATGCCAATATCTTAATTGCAGAATAGGTATAAAGGTATCAACTTCATTTAACTCCCTCAATTTGCTAACCTTTGAGATAGCTTGCTATTATTGGTCATTGATTGCACTTTTTGCAATGCCTCAAGAAGAGATGGATCTAATCCCTTCCTTGGAGGGTCAACCACTACCACATCAGCTCCGACAAGCCAAGAAAGAGGTTCCTACAAACATTAAATACGGTCAAGATTTGTACAATAATGATTTTGCTCCAAATATCACAATACTTCTAAGATCCAACAACGATGACAACAAGAACAAAAACAACCCAACAAGTTCCCCCAAATGATATCTAGAGAGGGGTGGGTGTTTGCAGACCTTACCCCTACCAACACAGATAGAGATGTTCCTGACCAACCATCTGCTCAAGAAATAATTAGCTAGTTAGGAACATCCATGGGTTATATATTTGCATCTCAACTGCTTTTCGTCTATCCAAATGTATCCAAGAGACTGACAAATCACATAAACCGACAAATTTTCCTTTGGGAATCATAAGGGGGCAGCCAATGCATGAAGCATCCCGATAGGGCACACACAGTCAGAGAATGACACCATATGACAGTTTTTTTATCCCGAAAATAAAATATTAATGATGAATGTCTATAAAATATTAATGATGCATGCTTATCGTGACGAAACTGACGTACAATTGAAGTATCAGCATGGTGCCAGCTAATACTACTCTCAAGATTGGTTGGCAAGCGCTCAGCTGTCTTCGTAAAAGACTGCCTTGACTCTTTGTTGACTTCTACACATTTAACTGAACTGTAAATAAAAAATTAGTGTAGATTCAAAAGCAATTAACAATTTCAAGAGTTCAAATAAGAGGCCATAAAAATGAGATAATTCTCACCTGCACTTCCTCATGGATGCCAAAGACAATCCAATTACACCAGCTCCTGCGTAAAGATCAATAACCGATGCACCATATGGAACATATTTTTGCAATTTGCGTAGCAATGAATCAAATGCCTGATTGACAGGAATCCAGAATTTATCATCACTATATAAATTCAAGAGAATTGTAAACACCTACTCTCCTACTGTGAATGAGTGAACAAACTGAATCAATTCTATAACTAGAAATCCATCGTCTAACAATTATAATAAAGGAACAGTCTTGGATTCCCACCATCTGCTGACCCTCTTCCCACCCCTCAAAAAGGCACATGTCAAACTACATCAAGCAAGCCTACAAATTTTTTAATGCAGACTTTTAGTCAATGTGAAGCTTCTTTTTCAATAGTGAAGTAGCAGTTAGTCAATGCAAGTTTTGATGCTCATCATGGGTCATCCGGAAACAGATGCTCTATGCTTTAAACATAGGGGTCAGATTGCGTACATCCGACCCCCCTTACCCCGCAATGAGCGGGAGTCGCTGAGGCACTGGGGTAATGTTGTTGTTGCAGACTTCTACACACACGTACCAAAAAAATGAAAGAAAAAAAAACTATACCCGAGTATTTGCTTGTCCAAAGCTGGAAGGAGCCAAAGACACATCAATTCCACCAACATGTTCCCAAAAATCTCTTTCCCCTAATAGATGCCTCCATCTATTTCCAAAAATTATCTGCAATGCAAACAAGAAACTTTCAAGACTGTAGGAACCAACTTTCACCTGTCCTTCCTGAAAAAAAAAAAATTGCTGCCAAATACCCAACGTTTCGGAGCAGTTAGGTAGCTGTAATAATCGAAATAAAATTCTACAACTACAAAAAAAAGATTTGAAAAGCAAATAATAAGAGGAAAAGAAACAAATATCCCAATGAAGAAAACCATGAAAGTAGAAATTTAACTTACATTATTTGATGATGTCTGGAAATTAGCCCAGACAGAATGTATTATATGGACTTTACTCCATGGTCCACCAGTTCTCCATAACAACTGCCATTGCAAGTAAAGCTTTAACAATTTGCATAGAGGCACAAATGCAAACATAATGGTCTCACCATTAAAAAACTTACATTGGCCAAAGCGTTTAGTTTTTGTGAAGTATGTGAGTTTTCATTTCTTGAATTCCAAACTAAAGAAACCTGAACTTTACCTGAAAACGATGCAAGAGGCTTGTTAACTCCAATAAAACCTCAAATACATTACTTCACTAGAAGGTAAAAACGAACTCAGCTTCTAACCCTTATTATATCTTTCAGAGGTGGGAAGAGATGTGTCATGTGTTGTCACAGCCATCTAGAAGGACCAATTCCAGCCATGTATGCAAGTCATAACCATAAATATCCATTGAAAGCCATCACTAACATACATTATTCGCATCCACATCATGTTAATATACAACTAACCTGGACATATCTCAACTCGCCTGTCCCTAAATCTTCATCATATGGTTCAACATTCAACTCAATTATAGCTGGAAAACCCCAAGAGGAAATTTTTTGTATACATTAAGAAAGAATGAAAGAGCATGCAGAATGTTAGCACTTGCATAAAAGAAGGGGCACAATAAATGAATATAAGAACGAGCCTTGTTTCAGAAGTTGTACAACGGCATTAATATTAGGATGGTGAGCTGCAAAAACAGGGTCAAATGAGATCAATGTTGAATAAGCATCTACATGTGTTTTGCAAACTCATAAATACTGACAGTGCATACCTTTACAGTCAGGGATATCAACAACATTGTGAGTGCCCTCCTGATATAGCCCAATTAAAGGTTGCACAGATGAACCACGAACTGCAAGCTTCGCACGGCACCTCCATCCCCACTGTAAGCAATTGTTCATTTCAATACAAGTAGTAATACAGTAATACACCACGGCAGTGTTCAGTAAACAGAACAAACATACCAAAAAATCCTTTCCTGTTTTTCTATGCATGTTAGGCTAGGTGGGAATCATTTTTCCATAGAAAACTTTTTTATGTAGTCTGTTGAAGAGAGGAAAGTCTTTTCGTCTGCTTTGAGACTTTGAGAAATCCCTTTTTTAATCCCCTTGGAATGATTGTTTTAAGTGTCAAATTTTTGGAAAGTTTAGGAAACACTACACTCTTGGATAGGGGTAAGACCTCTACCTACACACACCCACCCTAGACCCAGCTGGGATTCTTACTGGGTGTGTTGTTGTTCAAGAAACACTGCAAGCTTATATACTTCCTTCCGTCCTAAAAACCTTTCATGTTTTGACTTTTTTTGGTCAAACAGTGACATTCTTTGGCTACAAATTAAACATAATCTAAATAAATAAATGATATAAAAATTTGATATATCAAAACAATATCCTAAGATGAACCCAATTATATTGAACTTATATTATAATTAAATATACTTTTCTCACAAATTGTAGTCAATGATTGTCACTGTTTGACTAAAAAATAAAAAAAGGAATAATTTTTAGAACGGGGGAGTAGATTTTTTTCCTTTGGAAAATCATTTTCCTTAAAGACGAATTTACTCTACTAAATATGATGATGAAAACAGAGAAGCCCGAATCAAGCACCAATCTGCAACTGTGGAAGGTGAAATCAGAGACCCCAAGCTTCTTGAAGAAGTTCGCAGCTTCGTCAATCAGTATTGGACGGTGGAGATTAAACTCTTGAGCACAACCAGAACACCTGTAAACAACACCTAGATTATACACTAGTAAAATAAGAAATGAACCTTTCAGAGACCTAAAAAAGCACTCGAACTCGAATGCTTACATCTGAAAGTGAGGGCAATGGAGAGAGCAAGACGAGGATGATGAAGGAACGGGATTGGAAGATTGAACATGAGATAGCTGTGGAACCGGCGGGGTCGGCTGTGGGGGGATGTGCAAATCGCGGGGAACGGCGCCCGCGGTAGTAGACTGGCAGCTTATACTAGCAAAAGGAGAAGGCGTCGAAAAGAGGCTTGAAGTAAAAGCCATCATCAGCCCACAGCCGTACACTTGAGTTCAGAGTTTCATGAAATCTTCCTGTTTCTCCGGCGGTGGAATTCCGGTGCATCTATCCTGGGCTACCGATTGTTCTCATATGGACGGACATTGGACCACAGCATTAGTTGAGCGGTAAACAAATTAGGCAAAGAGAAATGTTTGATGGATAAAGCTATTTGTAACCAAATTTTTGTATCCTATTTTGTACATGGTTTGTACTCACAACACGTGTTGGTGTAAAACTAATTTTTGTTAACCTATCAACACTTTGTGTTCGTGTAAATTTTTGTTAACGGACCAACAGTTTTGTCGGTGTAAATTATCAAAATGTTTGTGTATAACTGCGGTGTACAAATTGGGTACAATTTTTTGTGTAAGTGTAGCATGACCAATTGACCATTCACAACATCACAAACTTCACAAAATTATTAATTGTGAACTTCAATAAAAAATTAAGTATTGAAATAATTTTAAATGAGAATTTAAACTATCTTTTAATATAAAATTTGAGAGTTTGGACTATGAGAAGCTGACATTTGGCAATACAAGAATTTGACATGTAACAATATAATTGACATGCTATGTAGCATAATAAGATGGGCTGAATTTAGAGAATTTCTTCTAAATCTACTTCATCTTTGATTGGTAAGTTTTTATAGCATTTAGGAAAATTAAATATATTTTCCTTCTTAAATCGAAATCTTTTTAAAAGAGAAAAATTCCGCCCTGCCATCTCCTTAAATCTAAAGCTATTACAAGATATTTTAGACCAAAATAGGTAATTACCAATTTAAGTTGCAAGGTATTACCTACTCCGTTTACTTTTTTTACTTTATTTTACTCCGTATATCTTAAAATATACTCCGGAGTAAGTCCAAAAACTTTTGAATTTTGAAAAAGCTACAAGAATGTCATAGAGTCAATAAATTTTCCATTCTGAGTAATTTCTAATTTTCCATTTCTCCATTTGTACGATGTCAATGAAATAATTGAAAATAGACAAATAATAAATCAATCGTTCATTTATAAAATGAAAATGGATAAATAATGAGTCAATCATATAGTAGAAAATATTTTTCAAAAAGAAAATAGAGTAGAAAATAGATAAAGTGTAAATTTTTTAGACAAACAAAAAAAGAGTTACTCTAAGTAGTTCTTTTAGAAGAGGAAGAATATAACCGGGTCAATCTTATACAAAAAATGAAAAAAAAAACCTTACTTGAAACGAATCGTATAGATCTATACTTTTGAATAAATTTTTAAGGGTTCAAATTATTTAAAAATACTAACACAAAAAGATCTTGTTTAATACCATTAATTATATTAGAAATATTATAAATTATCATTTTAAAAATTTAAACTAATCAAACTAAATTATAGCAGTGTGAGTTACCATTTTTACACAAGTAGGCTCTAATAATTTACAATATATAAAAGGATATAAAGAAATAGAATAAGAACACATTTACTCATTGACTTCACACTGGTTTATTGATTTAGAAGGTTATAATACTTTATCTTTTATATATAAATTTCTTACTTCAATCTTTGAAAGAATGACATATGTCAACATTCCAATACATATTTTCATACCTCGAATATATTGATTTTATGATTTTATTTTATTTCTATACAATTTGTGGTTTATATTCCGTATATGATTTATGATTTAAATTGAAGAAAATAAAATTTATAGTTATATATTATTATATGATGTTTTTAGTTGAATTATAGTTAACAATTGATATTAAAAATGTTACCAAGATATACTATGTTCATACTAACATTCTTTATGATTTTAACATTATTTAGTAAATTTAATTTTGGAAAAGAGATAATCGCTTTCACTAGAATATATTTTTCTAATTTTATACTTTTTCACAACATTTATCATGAAACTATCAATTAATAAATGAGATTTCCTTCCTCAAAAACAGATACTTTCATAACCTCAAAAAAATCATATTTTTTATGACATGCTTAAATGAACTTAGTTTTGATTTATTTATTTAAATATTGATATAAAATAAAATATAAAACATACATTTTAATTTCTATATTAAAATACTACAAATGACTAGATTATTTTCAAAATGATCAAATATTTGAATCAAATATATTTAAAAAAGAGTAATTTTGTATTCAAATAGAAAGAAAAAACACAAAAAAACTATCAAATATTTTTGTAAATTTCTATTCAAAATCATATGATCACTAATGTTTTTTATATTAATTTTTTTAATTAATGATAATGAATATAATCATTATATTCAATTTTTACTTATTTTTTATTTTTATTTTTTGAATAATATGATTATTAATCTAACATTTTATTTTTGGACGTATGCGGGGAGAGAATAATGATTCTGATATTTTTAATCGATGTGAGAGAAGAAAATCATAATAATGCGGGAGAGATGAACAATATTTATTTCGCTAATTAAAATTGATGCAACGATGCAAAATAGAATATTAAAATCATAATAATTAATATTTATTTCTACTCTCTTTGTCCCTCAATATTTGTCTAGTATTCTTTTTTGGGTTTTCCCTCAATATTTGTCCATTTTCCTTATATGGAAAAGAATATTAAATGAAATGACCACTATACCCCTCACTTTACTTGTTTGAAGGGCCCCTCATACTTTCTCTCACAAATTTCCTCCCTGACATCTTCAACTCCCTAGATCGTCAATTCCCCATCTTCTTCCTCTCTCATCTCTTCATCTCCTCCATTCCCCCCCTCTTCATCTTCCATTCCAATTTCTCTCCTTTCTCATCTTCAATCTTTTATTTATCTTCTTCTTCTTCGTCTCTCTCTCTCTCTCTCTCAACTGTGACAACACACACACATCTTCCAAGTCAATCGATGATGCCGGATGGACATTTCTTTGCAGATGAGATGAAGATGGACGATGATTAGATGTTATTGATCGCCGGATGTGGGAGAAACATGGATTTATTTTAAAGATCTAAAATGTATTTCCTCGGTTTGTTTTTTTGTTTTCAGAATTAATGTGGGTTGTTGGTGGAGAGCTGGAGTATAGTGGATTAATCTTGGAGGTCGTTTGGATAACACAAAAGACATTGGGGATTTGGCAGGGGTGATGGTGTTGGTCCATAACTTGTGAAACAGAAAGTGGTTAAGTCCTAAGGGTATTTGTGTCATTAGACATCTTGTATTGGTTATTGTGCCACATGAAAGTGGACAAAAACTAAGGGACGGAGGAGTATTAATCAATGAAAAGAAAAATAATATTTTTTTGAAATAATTTTATTCTATAATCCAAACTAATGTGGGTAGAATCATATTTTGTACCCATCAATGGCGGTTGCATAATGTTTAAGATTGTTTATTTCAAGATTAATGTAAATACTTCAACGGATGGATTAGTAATGTATTGGATTTATCGTATTGAGAATTTTCAAAATTGTTTTTCATTCTTGGATTTATCGTATTGAGAACTTACAAAATTGTATTTCATTATGCTAATATGCAATATAAATTGAGAGTAATTGGAGTTCAAAGTTTGTCCAGTTTGACTCGAAAAGTTCAAGCTGGACAAATACACTGGACGAAGGTAGTATTATGTACTGGACAAATACACTGGACATAGGAGTTCTAAACTGAATTGAATTGTTATGAATATTAAAGACATCTATAGGATTGAAGATTTGGAAATTTAAAGTCATGCAGGTGTCGGCGTATGCCTGATAGTCTCTAGGATTAAAACATACCTATAAGAGTCCGTGACTTGCCTCAGCACCTTTGTGGTAGGGATTCCAACCCACCCGTTTGACACCTTTCATTGGGATACAAACGTGATCTCTTGGCACCTCCAAGAATGTCTAGGGCAGTGTGATTTGGTTGAACTTTAATTAGCTGTATAGGTTAAATATGGTAAGGATATGTAAGATTTGAACGGGACGAACAAATGATGGATCAAACTCTTGAGTAATGATTTTTTGCTTATTCTTTAGATATTGTGTGATTATATATTGATGCATGCCCGTTTTTGAATTAGTTCTAGCATTAGATATTTACTCACTCAGCTTTAAGCTCAGTGTAGTCCTTGTTGTCTTTGACTGCACGTAGGTAAGATTCAGGGATTGTATGAACAATCTGGAGGTTAGTGAGGCGTGACGCTGGTGGATGGCTTGCTTATCTCAAATTCATTATTTAATTCTTTTATATTTAATTACTTATGTCACACGAATTGGAATGTTGGATGTTGTTTTTAATGCTTTCGCAAATGTCGAATTATTTTACTCCGATTAAATTATGTTTTGTTTTTGAATATTATGAATGCATGTTTCAAATTAAATATTTTTAAATATTTTTCACGTGAATACCAAAATAGTAGCAATCTGATTCGTAACTCATTGATTTAGGTTACGCAGGTTAATGTGTTATACATAGAGTATTTCCCGTCCTTCACCAGGGGTGATTTTGGTCATGTGAGAATGAGAAATGATGGTTCATCCAAGATCATCACTATGTTTACTATTTGTTTAGAAGCCTCCACTGGTTGCCAGTTGGTGCTCAAGAATGTGAGGCACGTCTCAGATATCAGATTGAGTTTAATTTCATCACTATAAACAAGGAACCCACATTTACCTTTGTTGGCGAAGTGAGAAATTTATGTTTGTTTCCCCTTTCCCTTCAGCTTAGCGAACTCCACGGGGTGCCTCGCTTTTGAGATATGTTTTCACCGAATCATAATCTCTAGAGGTCCCCATGTTTATCATTGCCTTACAGTGTAAGAAAATACCCTGAATAATGCCATTTTTTCTTTGTTAAAATGATATTTAAATAAATTAAAAGTAAGTTTTTTACCTCCCTCAAACCTACAAAGGTCTCAAGCTCACCTGTGATCTCCTCGGCAAAGACATTGCTCTTGGGAGTTTGATCATCAATCTCATCGTTGTCCTCCTCAACTTTGCCGATTGAATTGATGAAATTCGTGTCATGACGAGGTTGTGACTCCAAGTACTCAAAAAATTTGTTATTGTTAATGCTTCGTTAAAATATGCTTTCCAAGAAGTCTAGGACTTGCAAGGTCGGGAAGCCCAAGACATAGTGCCTCAGTTTGGAGACTTGGAAGCTTGAAACGTTGGATGTGGTGGTGAATTTACTTATCTCTAGTTTTTTTCCAGTTCAAACTCTCCATATCGACGAATCTTCTATGCAACATTTTGAATAATATACAATTTTATACACAATTAAATATCCGATGACACTAAAATTACATCTGATCTAATTAAGTAAATCCAATTACACAAAATATTAGATGAAACTAAAATCACCAACGGTAGTTTCATTGTGACGGTGCAATTATTTTTGGATAATGTGCTACTACAAGAATACATAGTGTTCAATGTCTATCGCTCATTGCTTTTTAGGTTTTGATAATAACAAAAAATCAATTCATTTGAGCATTAAGGCTAAGTATGAGATTGATTCAAAAGCTATAATGAGATCATTCCATTCGTGATGAAGGGGCATTTGTTAATAAGTGAAAGATCAAGACCGAAGATGTTCAAGACGTACGTGTTAGGTAGTCATTTAGGTCTTAGATTATTTTTTTAAGAGAATAAGGCATTGGGAATAGCTTTTAGACAATCTTTGATGATTCTTTTTTGATCCCTAACCTTTTATTGACGATCAGTCTTCATACGTTTGAATTTGCTTCTTCATACAATCGAATGCATAATTGTCACGTTTGAATGCACCATCATTACATTCAAATGTATCATGCTTAACATTTGAATGTACTTGCTATCCATTACCAGATAAGGCTAAAAGAACTTCCTACATTTGAATGTTGAGTATGGAGTATAAAAAATTTGAATGTTGATGGTTTTAGTAGTTTCAATTATTTTGAAGCCTGTATTTAGTTCTCTCAACCCTAATATGTGTGTGGATGAATAAGGACACCAAATTAAGTCTCTTGAGAGCATACATCTTCAAAATACATCATATTCTAATCATATGATCATCATTGATTAAAATCACTATATTGAGAATCTTGATGTTGAGACTACACCAAGTGGTTAGATAAAATCCTGGTATTGGGATTACAGTTAGTGGTTTAAGAAATATTGGTGTTACGGCTACGCAAAGTGGTCAAATCTTGTTACGGCTACACAAAGTGGTCAAATCAAGTAGTAGATGATAAGTTAAGAGGTTTGTCTGATTCAAGTTCTCGAGTTGTAAGATTTACCCAACACAATTAGGTTTGGTGAAATGATTAGTGAAGGCTTGGGTACAGTTGCTCGGTGATTGGATGCAAGCATTAGAACAAAGCAATATAGATCATGGTGTTTTTTATTGCTTTTCATAACTTTGTTTTACTTATTCTTGAGCGCTTTATACACGAGAGTACTTGAGAGAATCAATCCAACAAAAATTGGTCAAAATAAACAACACTCTATTCACCCTTCAACAATGTTAATTCTAAAAGTTATAAAGCTTAAAATTACTTTAAGATATACTAATACCACACTAAATTAAATTGCATATTTCTTATACACATGATCAAATTTTATTCACTTTCTTTATTAATTGTCGCTAATCATTCGATAAAGTAATATAATCATATCCCAATTTGTTTTATAATGCTTTTAATATAGTTTTTAAATATGTAAATTTTATTTTTTAATTTCACCCCAATTCTCGTATAAATTGAATTGAAAATAATTTCAGTTAAACATCATAAACCAAACAGGTAATTTAAAATGGGACAGAGGAGTACACAATTTAAAAATAAGAATCAATAATTAAAGAATGTTAACTTATGCTATTCAATAACATTGAAATGAAAAAACAAATACCCGGAGTACAAAAAACCTAATTTCAGCAAAGGTATCAAGATGCAATGGAAAAGTGAGTTACAAATCCATTTACAAAATACTACGGAGTACATATTATGGGCCAATGGCTTTACATATTATAAACTGAGCTCTAAATCCATGAGATATAGGATGTCATCATATACAACTAAGGCGCATTAATAATCAGGGGAAATTTGTACAATTTCTTGTTCTGCTGCAATCTATAAATACATACATACAAGTATACAACATAACAATGACTCGACTCGGCCAAACACGACTTGGTCTGGAAAACCAAGACACATTACCAAAACGTTCTATACGCAGTTTTTGTTCCCATTCTTAGAGCCAGCAGTTCCAATCCCAAAAACTGGTTCCAGTTCATATGTCATCTTACACTGAATATTCAGGCAGTTCCACAGAAACCAGAACCTTATCCGACCCTGGTTTGGTTCTGGAACCTAAGTTTCTAGTTTTAAAACAAAAACTTATCCACCCAGTGGCACGGCCTTGGGTCGAACTCTCTCAAATTCAAAAACCTCAAACATGAGGCGCCTTACATCTGGTTTCCCATACACGGCATATGAGAGACCATGAATGGCTTGTTGAACAGAAGTTGTAGCTGGATTTCTCATCCTCCGGTTGTGCTCAAACTTATCTTGCATTACATCACTGTATATGATAAAACGATGCAGATTTTTTTCCCGCAGAAACTTCCCGCAGAACTTATTCATCAAGAGACGACGATGCTTCTCCATCAACCATCTTCCAGGGGCATCCAGATGCTTCATAAGCAACCTCTCTGCCATTACAAGGTCCTGGATTTGGAGAAAAACCCCAGTGTTAAAGCAAAAGCTAAGAGTAGCTAAGCACAGATATAAATGAACTGAAACTGCTTTTTTCCCTGAGGGTAACATATAAGAAGTACCTGGATTTTTTGTCCAAGATATTCCAGTCGCTCAAAGCAAAAACGTGGATGTTCAGCCTTGTACTTTGAGTAATGCAAGAAAGAAAGCTGGATTTTATATCCATTAATTACACGACAAACCCATCATTAGGAAACTTGAGTGCCAGATAAAGAAGCACAAAGCACAAAAGTAAAAATGATTTAGGCTAATGCACTTGGGAGTCAAGTTGTAGGAGGGAGTTCGGTTTTATTATTCTGTAGGTGATTTACCATAAATGTTCGGGGTCCGTTTGGTACAAGGAATTGACGGAATTGGAATTGAATGGATAGTTGAAATTCTAGGGAATTGATTTAAATGGAATTGATACTCTAATTCCAATTCATTTTTGGCACTACCAATTCTAAATCCACATATTTTTGTGCTACCAAACAGCAGAATTGGAAATGTTGTCCCCAATTCCAATTCCATAGTTTGAATTCCGTGTACCAAACGGAGCCAAATAGTTTGAATATATTGTTTTACCATTACTGTTCATCTTTCAATCTTTCAATATTTGATTGTTCTAACCTATATTTACGTTTTATTGAACCGAAGACCGTCCTGGGTTGTTGTATAGAGGGAATAAAATTAATACCTGCAAACCAAGTCCAAGTTCTATATTTCTGGCCTCGGTGATCTCGGGCATTTTATCTGCATTTGGCAATGGATAACCAAGTGCTTGCATGACTTGAGGCCTAGCCTCATAATCCCATATATTCCCACGAAACCGATGCATGCCTGGTGGAACGCATGCCCTAAATAGCCTGGGATGGTGAAAAAGAGCATCTTCTGGAGGCTGGCAAACATGAAGGACAACATCCATTTTAACAGTCCAAATGAATATGACAGTAGTCAAAACTTAGCAACTATTGCAAATGGGGCCGAGAAAGTCATCATTAACAACATTTTAGCTTTGGGTGTAAATAATAATCTAAATCAAAATGGCACATTAGATTTCCTTTGCTCCTTACTCGCTTTGGATAGTAAATGCAAAAAATGCAACAAGGGTCTGGCTAAAGAACATCTTTGTTTCTTTATACAGGGATAAGACTGTACATCTTGACCCAAAACCCCATCAAAGTTGGGATTATACTAGGTTTTTGTTGTTGCTTTTGAATACTCAACTCCTTTAAATAACAATAACAACTAAAAAATCATGTTTGAAGCAAGAACAAAGAGAAAGAATAAAAAATAAACCCAGTAAAATCCCACAAAAGTAGGATTTGGGGAGGGTGTGTGTACGCAGATCTTACCCCTACTCAAAAGTAGAGAGGTTGCTTTCAAGAGAACCCCCAGCTCAAGTAACACAAAAAGCATGGAGAAAGAATAAAGGGAAAAACATTATAAACAAAAAGACCTTACCTTGTATGTAGCAACATCTTGCCAGCTTAGCTTGTTACCTTCGAACTCAAGAGAGGTATAGTCGACATCCTCGAGTTGTCTCCTGAGTCTAGGTTGGCAGTCTTCAGCCTCAGGGTCCATTCCAAATATATCAAACAGAACTCTATAAACTTCTGGTAGGCCAAAACACAAATATATTGCCCCAAACATAGCCCAGAATACAGATCTGTCATGATGCCATTACAGCCAAAGTTAATGCTAGAAGCAACTCCACATGGATTGGTATAGTAGCATATATATGACAAAAAACATTCACCAAGCTCTTCAGCTACAAATTGTTAGGCTATTCCTTGTTCGCTTTTCCCCTACTTGTGAAGCCGGCTCAAAACAAGGAACTTTGAAAACCAAAGATAGAAAAAACCAATGACAAAGAAGACTTGCACAAAAGAAACAGGCATTCAGATTAAGGAGAAAATCTCTTCTTATGCATCAAAATGTTAGATATTTGAGTCTCCATTAAACACCTTTTATTGTATAGCCTTTTTTTCTTTGATAACATTGATAATAAGGGATAAACAATTGACATTCTTTGAAAATGCAAACCACCATAACTAAAAGGGCATTATTATCATTCAAGAACCTCAAATGATATAAGGAAAACATGGCACATACTTGACTGGACCTTCACGCTCTAGCCGTTTCAATTTATCCATATCATCATAAGGGAAGATGAAATTTTGCAAACTGGCAGCTTTAATCCACTTCGGTAGAAACCTCTTTCCAATCAGTGCAAAAACTCTCTCCCTCATTGGACCGGGCGGCTCTCTCGGATACCTCTGCAAGAAGAACTCGCAGAGAGCTAATTCAAGCACATATTCACCCAAGAATGCCAACCTCGAGTGCCCGAACCTCACGTGTCTCGCATTGTTCTTCTCACAGAACGGGTGTTGGAAAGCCAAATACAACAGTGTATCAACCTGCTTGGCCGGGTTATCATCCGGAAAGCCAACCGATGGCTCCACGGGGTACCCGAGAGCCCGTTTGGCCTCGGGCAAATGCTCGTCTATCCAAAATTTATCATAATTATTAAGCCTCGAAGAAGGAAGGCAAGAACTCAACAAAGGGAAAGATTTTAGGGATAATTGAGGGCTATTGAGAAACCTCTCCGATAATTCCGCATCATCTAGAGGAGGTTTGAGTATGAGCCGTCTGGGCGGCGCCCTTTTCTTGCGGGGAGTAACTTTTCTCCGCTCCGCTAGCTCTTTGAGAAGTCTCTGCGGACTGTCTGGCGGGAGTTGTTCTTGGGAATCTACTGCGACGGCCGAAACTCTGAAATCCGGAGAAATGGGCGTTGAGCATCTTCTGCATATCTTGAGATGGGTTTGGAGAAGGAGAGGCGATTGTGAGGAAGGGAAGGAGAGGTCAGATGGTTGGAGGTGGAGGACATTCGAGTAGGGTTTGAAGCTTGAACAGATTGTGGAATTCATTTTTCCCAATTGACATTGCTGTTACTCGGTTTGGGCTAGAAGTTGATATGTGTCGGACTACCTATTTTTATAATTTTTAAAAAAACTTTTAATTTTTATTTTTTGTGTTTGAAATAAAAAATTAATGAAATAAAAAAATTTAACGTACACTTTATTTGTCAAAAAAATCAGTTAAATGGAACGGGGCCTAAGTAGCTAATTCTTTTTGACTGATTTTTGCGGTGCTATAGAAAATAAGCTAATTTACCGAGTTTCTTGCATCAGTAATATCTCCTTGTGATTTGATAAATGTGCATCGCTACTTGCATAGTTTCAAAACTTAGTGTTAGCCTAGTATATTTATGTATATTCGTTTATTATGTATTGGGCCGTGTACATTATGGGCCCGTAACTTGTATCCTCTGTAATGTATATAAACTCCTTGTGATTAATAGAAAACAGAGTTTCACGTAAAATATTTCTACATGGTATCGGAGCGATCCTAGGGTTAGTTTCCCGGAAACCCTACGCTTGTTGGTGCGCCGCCCGTATCCTCGTCTGTCGGCGGTGCTTGTTCGCCGTTGGTGCGTCGGAGAATAGCGCTCGTCGGCCTTCCTCCCTTGTTGGTTTGTCTGCCGTCCTCCGCTGCCGTCATCTCGTCTCCGGCCCGTGTGTTTCTCGTCCGTCATCATGTCCGGCGAAATCGTGGCTTCCAACCCTAAAAAGACACGGTTAATTCATGATCCTTCTTCTATATATTACCTTCACCCCTCCGAAAGCCCAAGTAACTCTTTGACAAAATATCTCCTTAAAAGTGAAAATTTTGATGTATGGGAGAAGGCAATCCATAATGCTTTGGGTGGTCGTGGAAAATCTGTTTTCTTGTCATCCGTAGGTGTACCCAAACCTACCGATGAACATGAGTTGTCTGGTTGGTGTGCTAATCATCAAATTATTTGTAGTTGGATTTTTAACACTGTTGATGAATCTATCCAACCTAGTATTGTCTCTCATTCAATTGCTTATGAGTTGTGGGATGATTTGAAGAAACGTTATAGTTGCTCTAATGGGCCTCGTGTGTACCAGTTAAAGTCGGAGTTGAATTCTTTACGCCAAAAAGGTCAAAGTGTTGTTTCCTACTACAATCAATTTATCACTTTATGGAATCAATTGTATGGATCCTCAAATCTTATCGGGGGCTGCCGGTGTGAGGCCGTCGGGGTCATGCGTGCCCGTATTGATCGCGACAAAACCGTGGATTTCTTGCTTGGTTTGGATGATGAACAATTTGGAAATATTCGTTTTCAAATCATAGGCACTGAACCGGTGCCCGATCTCAACTGTGTGTATTTTTTGGTTACCCAGGAGGAGCCCCATCGTCATATTGTTCGCACTCGGGATGATCGCACAGACTCTGTTGCTTTTGCCGCCCGACCCAACAAACGACCTCTTGTTCCAAACAAGTCTTGCTCGCATTGTGGTCGTACCAATCATAGAGTGGACACATGTTTTGAGCTCATCGGATTTCCCACACAGTTCGCCCGTGGTGGGGGGCGGGGTCGCGCCAGTCGCGGGGGCTCGTCGTCCGGTGGCCGTGGCTCTATCCGGCACGGCAGCGCCCCTCACACCCCTCCCGGCAGTGGGCAGCCGGTCCAGGGCAGTAGCAGCAGCACTCCAGCAGCTGTTCATGCCTCCGTTTCTGACTCGAGTGGCAACCTCAGTGATCAAATGTCCCGCTTGATGTCTATGTTAGAGGCGTCCGCCTCTCATGCATACACCGGTAATTCTTATTCTGATTGGTTAATTGATAGTGGCGCTTCGCATCACATGACAGGTTCTCTTGCACACTTATTCAATGTTGAGGATGTTTCTACTCACTCTATCTGTCTCCCTGATGGGTCTCGTGTCCAGGCCACAAAACAGGGAAGTGTGCATCTGTCGTCTCGTTTGGTATTACGTAAAGTGTTATATGTACCAAACTTACATTGTCACTTGATTTCTGTTGGATGTTTGATTCGTGATCATACTTGTTATGTAACTTTTAATGATCATCGTTGCGTGATACAGGACCGTTCGTCGAAGATGGTGATTGGACAGGGTGACTTGCGAAATGGCATGTACGTCTTTGCATCTGCTCCTGCGTCAGCCCTCGTAGCCAATCTCAATCCTTTTGTTCTTCATCAACGGCTGGGTCACCCCTCCGTGGATGTTCTCTCGCTTCTTGGTACTAATAAAACACAATCTGTTGTTCAAAAATTGAAGACTTGTGACATTTGTTTTCTGTCTAAACAAACTCGTTCCCCATTTCGTATTAGTGATAATAAAGCTGATGCTATTTTTGATTTAATTCATTGTGATCTGTGGGGGCCTTATTCACCTTGTATTTCGTCGGGGGCACATTATTTTCTGACAATTGTTGATGATTTTTCTCGGGCTGTCTGGGTTTATTTGATTAAATCAAAAAGTGAGGTCACTTCTTATCTACGACGTTTTTTCACAGTGATCAACACCCAATACTCTAAAACAATAAAAATTGTTCGTTCTCACAATGGTACTGAATTTCTGAATTCTTTTTTGCGTCAGTATTATGAAACCTTGGGTGTGTGTATTCAAACGTCTTGTGTTGGTACCCCACAACAAAATGGGCTGGTAGAACGTAAACATCGTCATATATTAAAAGTCGCCTGATCCCTTATGTTTCAAGCATCTCTTCCACTATAATTTTGGGGGGAGTGTGTCAAAACAGCAGTCTACTTAATTAATCACACTCCTACTAAAATCCTCAGGGGTAAATCTCCTCTTGAAGTCCTTTCCTCAAAACCTCAAGATTTGAGTCATCTTCGGGTTTTTGGGTGTCTTTGTTATGTCCATCCTATTCTTAAACCCAAAAATAAATTTTCCCCACGAAGTGTCAAGTGTGTGTTTGTGGGCTATCCATATGGTACCAAAGGGTGGCGAGTTTATAATCTTGACACACATACGTTTTTTCATACAAGGGACATATCTTTTGATGAAACCACTTTCCCGTTTGTCGTCCCCACTCCCTCGTCAAGTTCTCAACTCATACTCACGCCCTCATCGGCCGATTTTGCCGTACCTCCCACCCCCGTCACCCCTGCCGTACTGGCTACCCAGCAGCCGGTACTGTCACCCGTTACCCCTACTGTCCCGGTGACAACCCAGCAGCCCGCCCAGCCCCTGCCTTCTTCCGTGTCACTTTCTCCGTCCCCGTCACCTTCCCCGTCTCCTTCTCTGTCTGACACCGCCAGTCCCCCCGTCTCCTCATCCGACGACGACAGCCCCACTTCTTCCACGGTGGAGACCACTTCTCCACCGCCGATAATTCTACCCCTTCCGCCTCACACCCGTTGTCGTCCATCTCATCTGAACGACTATGTTCTTAATTTCGCAAAGATTGTCACTCCAGCTCCGGTCACCTCCTGTTCTTCCCCCTCTGGTACTCGGTTCCCTATTACTAACTTTGTTCATTATTCTAAGTTGCATGACAGGTATAAAGGATTTCTTGGAGCTATTGATGCCACATCTATTCCCCGTAATTTCCGTGAAGCTGTTCAGTTTGCCTCATGGCGGGAGGCTATGGCCAGTGAGTATTTTGCCCTGGAGCGTAATCATACCTGGGATGTTGTTGATCTTTCTCCTAATCGTCGTGCTCTTGCTTGTCAGTGGGTGTACAAGACCAAATATCGTTCTGATGGTACTAAGGAGCGTGATAAAGCACGCCTTGTTGTTTTGGGCAATCATCAGGAACTTGGAGTTGATTATACTGATACTTTTGCTTTTGTTGCCAAACTTGCTACTGTTCGTGTTTTGCAGTCTGTTGCAGTGGCTCGTGGTTGGCAGGTTGATCAGTTGGATGTTAACAATTCCTTCCTTCATGGTGATTTACGGGAGGAGGTCTATATGAAACTACCCCCTGGCTATACTCATCTTTTTCCAGGGAAAGTTTGTCGTCTTCGTAAGTCCTTATGCGGACTTCGTCAGTCCCCTCATAATTGGTTCACTAAGCTCCATATTGCTTTACGACGATATGGTTTTCGTCAAGCCCATCCTGATCACACTCTCTTTGTTCTCCAGCGTGGCCCTGATATGTTGATTGTTCTTGTTTATGTTGATGATATTCTGGTGGCAGGTAACAACAGGTCCTTATGTACTTCATTCAAGAAATATTTAGATGATTGTTTTCATCTCAAGGATCTTGGTCCGGTTTCCTATTTTCTAGGGATTGAGTGTGCTCGTTCTCACGATGGTATGGTCCTTAATCAACGTAAGTATGCTCTTGATATTATTGATGAGGCCAACCTGCTTGGATGCAAGCCTGTGGACACTCCATTACCAGTTAATTATAATTTGGCTCGTTCTACCAGTGCTGAGATGCGTGATCCCCTTAAATATCGTCGCCTTGTGGGTCACTTGTTGTACCTGACCATTACTCGTCCTGATATCTGTTATGCCGTTCACACTCTTTCTCAGTTTATGCAGGCGCCTCGTCTCGATCATTGGAATGCGGCTCTTCGTGTCCTCCGTTATCTCAAGGGACACCCTGGTCAGAGTATCTTGTTGCGTAGTGACAGCAATCTTGCCCTTACTGCCTTTTCTAATTCTGATTGGGCTAGCTGTCCCCTTACTCGCCGATCTGTCACTGGTTATTTTATATTGTTGGGTGGTTTCCCGGTTTCATGGCGTACTAAGAAGCAAACTACCGTTTCCCGATCTTCTACAGAGGCTGAGTATCGCACTATGGCAAATGCATGTGCCGAAATCCGTTGGTTGTGCGGCCTCTTAGCAGCTTTAGATGTTCCCTGTATTGAGCGTTCAAAGCATATTGATATTGATTGTCATATTGTCCGAGAATGCCTTCAGCGCAATCATATTGTCACCGCTTATGTTCCTACGCATTTTCAGACGGCGGACATCTTCACAAAGGCCCTCTCCGGTCCTCTTTTTTCGTTGTTTGTTGTCCAAGTTGGGCATTTATGATCTTCATGCTCCAACTTGAGGGGGAGTGTTAGCCTAGTATATTTATGTATATTCGTTTATTATGTATTGGGCCGTGTACATTATGGGCCCGTAACTTGTATCCTCTGTAATGTATATAAACTCTTTGTGATTAATGGAAAACAGAGTTTCACGTAAAATATTTCTACACTTAGGTCATTGCCTTCATGATTCTGATATTCCTACGCTAATGCTTTTCTAGACAAAAATATCCTTCAAATATTAGATGAATTGCTCTGCCCCTTATGGTTTTCGAAATGGGCACCAACACCCCCTTTCTTTCTTTCTTTAGGTCCCGTTTGGTACATGGAATTCAAACTATTGAATTGGAATTGGAGACTTCAATTCCAATTCTGGTGTTTGGTAGTACAAAAATTATGTGGATTTGGAATTGATAGTGCAAAAAATGAATTGAAATTGAGAGAATTCAATTCTATGGAATTGAATCCCATAAAATTTAAATTCCAATTCAATTCCAATTTTACCAATTCCTTATACCAAACGGACCCTTATTGTTTTTCTTCTTTTTCATGGAAAAAAGTAAAATGTTTGTGTTGAAAAAATGTAAAGTTGTTTTTCAAAGCAATTTTTTTTAACTATTCTAAAAGATAAAAATTGTTTTTGTTTGAAACAAAAAATGAAATAAAAAATTTAACATTACTTCATTTGTCTCAAATTTAATATTTTTCCTTTGTCTAAAAAAAGTTCTTAATTTTTGAATCTGTTGACACACAAAAAATACAGAGTAAGATCTTTTTTATGTTAAGTATATATCCATAATATTTTATAGATTGATGCGCAACATATTATTTAATGACTTAATTTTCACTTTTCTATAAACGTATTTTGTCATATACTTTTCTTTTTCTTCATTTTCTTTTCTATTTTTTTTCTCTTAATTTTATTTTTAATTCAAACAAAAGAAATGTTATAAAGTTAAATTTTAAAAAAATAAAAAAGATTAAAAAAAGAAACCAGAAAATGAACAAAAAATGAGAAATGAACTTTACTCGAAAACAGAGAAAATGTTTTATTGATTTTTGTATCATGAAATGAACCGATAAATACCTCTTTTGTTTAAATATAAGAATGTTTAATTTGAGACAAATGAAGTGTACATTAATTCTCTTTATTTAATTGATTTTCATTTCAAACACAAAAAAATTGATTATTAAAACATTATAAAAAATAGTTTTAAAAAATAAAACATATATGAAAACAAGGAGAAGAAAAAAGAAAATCAATACAGAAAAAAAGTGGGAGACATTCGTGCATATTTTCAAATTCATAGACGACAGTAGAGTTATTCACTTATAATTTGAAGGTAGAGGGACATTTATGTAGGAATACCGGAACGAGGGACAACGAAGTTAGTTTAGAAGCAATGGACTAACAATGCATATTTACCAAATCACATTAGATATTAATACAATAAACATTCCAATGTAGCACTTTTGGTCATTATTCATTAGTCATTATTTAAGTAAATGTTCGACATCATTGGACATTATGAACTTTATTAAATTTTATTTAGATAATAAAACAGTTTAAATGATATTTAAAGAAATAATTTATATTTTAATACTCGGGAGTACTATTTAGTGCAAATATTTCTAAAAAAATTGATTATACTGGGCAGGAACATTACACTACTACGGAGTATCTCTTTTTAGACCGGAATGGGTAAAACAAATTAGGCAGTAATACGCACGCAAATACGCAAAATTCAACAATTGGGGTAATATATAAATTGACTGTTAAACTAATGAAGCCCTCGCAGAACGAAATATACGTATATCTCACCTGATTCAACTGAGGTGTGTAATTAATTAATTAATTAATTAATTAATCCTAGGTGTGTATTAATTAATTATATCCACAGTATGTATAGAGCAGCGAATGCTACTACTATTAATAAGTCGGTAATTGGCCTAATAATTGTGCTGCTGCTGCTGCTGCAACTTGGCGGCCGGCCGGCGGCTCATGCCGCCGCAGATGATGGTGGTAAAAAAGGTTTTGGAATGGCTATTTTGGCAGGGTCTGGGTGGCTGCTCATCGTCGTTCTGGTTTTGATATGTTATTGTATAAAGCTTCGCAATAAAGTAGGCGACGACAGCGGACTCGCCCCACCGCCGGCAGAAAAGCCCTAGCTGGTTGCGCACACCAAAATGATAAAAATCTCTCTTTTCTTATTTTCATTTGTCCCAACGTGTATCTTTTTTTTTTCTATTAAGAAATTGTTTTTAATTCTATTAATTCTTATTCCGTATATCAGATCGTATCCATTCGCTAATAATTTAGAAATCACATCTTACTTTCACGAATGTATATTAGTTAATTTGATATCTTTCTCTTTGTTTGATTTTTTCTGTCCCCAATACAACATTTACCCCATGTTTGGATGGGTGATTTTAGAGAGAAAGAAATTAGAAGGGAAGAAAACACAATTTCTAATAAAATTTCACTTGTTTACGGAAGAAAATGGGGAAAAGAAAGAAATTGTCAATTAAGGTGCCAACTTAAAAACTCTTCCCCTCTCAACCAGAAAATCCACCCATTGAAGAGAAAACACATGAATTGACTGTTTTACACTTCATTTCATCAGATTCAATAACAAAAAACAAGGGCAAATTGTCTCTTTAGTTTTATCACTTTTTCTTTCCTTTTACATTTTCACTTCATTTTTCACTTATCTAAACAACAATAATCTCCTTCCCATTTTCTCTTTATTTTCTTTCCTCTCTATTTTCTTTCCATCCATTTTCTTTCCTCTCATTTTCTCTTTTTATCCAATGGAAAACCCTCTAAATAGGAGTAAAACATATATCATATCCTCAAAATAGGAGTTCAAACTTAAACTCCTCTAAATAGGAGTAATTAATTAAATTTTGTTTTGATATACTCTTTCGCACTAACCACATCACATCCTAGCCCTATGCGGTCGAAAAAGTCACCCGGCCCTTTCCCAATCTCATCCTTCTACGATCTCCCTATGCAGTCAAAAAAGTTGCTGATGCTGTCAACTTAATCTCAATCCCTTCTCCGCCAGTACCATCTTCTCTATGCGGTAATGATTCCACCGCACTCTCCATCATCTCCTTTTCTCTCATACACACAATCTTCTTCCATCCCTCTCCATCATTTCTATATGTCCCCTTAGGTAAGTTTGAATTCAATTTGATATTTAATTTGACATAAGTAGTTAAATTCAATTTTAAATCTCAAAATTTACGTTTTCGGGAATTATTTTGTAAAATTGGTACTAATTCTGTTATCCTTGCGTGAGTTTGAAACTTTTAATCAATTTTATATTCAATTTTACATAGGTTGTGACATTTGGTTTGAAATCTAATTTTACTTTTTAGAAAATTATTTTGTAAAACAAATATTGAAACTAAATGATTATTGTGTTGGCAAATAGAGTTTTCTTGATGTTTAACTTTTTTGAGATTATGCATTAACATATGTGTTATATATATGTAAAATTATACATTGGCATATCTGTCATTATATATTGCCAAATGTGCCACTATATATTGTCATATTTGGCATTATCTCTTGGTTTAGCATTATGCATTTGCATGTATGACTTTATACAATGACATGATTGTCATTATGCGGCTATGCGTGGCGTTAAATGTAGTCTTGTTTGACACTGTATATACATTTTACTGTAATAATTTACTAAATTTCTATTTATTGCTTAAGAATTTTGATATATATATATATATATCTACAAGGTATTAATCAAGTCTCATAGATTTATTGATTAAGAATTTTGGTATTAAATGTGGTCTTGTTTGACATTTTATGGGCTTGAGGCAACACTTAAAGGTC